AAGTTGTAAGCGCGAGCCAGACGTATGTATATTTTTTTCGTTAGGCGAATGCCTACCATTGCCTATGATGATATCGTCGTTATGTAGCCACTAGCCGGCCGGCGACATATCGTAGCAGCCAACATTTAGAATCAGAAGTATTCAAAAAACCTAGCTACAATACTTGACTTCGTAGTGCTTGCAGCGCTAAGTGTTTTTTGATACAGCGTCATTTACAAATGCAGATTATTGATGTTCAGCCGGAATGACGTTACGATACGTTGACTAAAACGGTAGAAAATGTCGTGCCTGATTACAAAACGACTAGTTAGGTCCACTTTCTTTACGACAAAATTTATAGCCACAATGCTATTGAATGTGGCAGCATTAAAGACAACCCGCTGTGTTTGTTCATTTTGTAATGCATATCACTTCAGCATTCAGCATTATCAGCCGCATTGTAGAACGCAAAAAGCTGATAAATTACATAACGTGCATTACGACTAGGCGTTTATTAATACTGTTACGAGCTTGGGGTTCGAGACAATAAAAACTGCCGAGTGAATTACCAAAATTGACACTTTAGTACAGAACACTAATTACAACTTAAAACCTCACTCAAAACAAAACAATTGTACTACTGATCACTTTAGTACGCAGTTGTATCGCTTCGAAGTATTCGCTTGAATCGCCAATTCCATACCGACCCGGGTCGCGGTCTATACTGGCCTTATATAGGGCATCAGATAGTTCCAGAACCTTCTACTGTAGAAACATCAAGAATGTTCGAGTACACACCGGTCCCGACTCTAGGTGTCGAGAGTTCTAGAAAGTTCTAGCATGAAAATTTCTAGAAGGATCTTGACTCCTAGTTCTGCTACTCGATACTAGAAGGGGCTAGTGGTAACTAGTGTCACCATGTATTCATTAATTGTGGCGCGCAACAAAGCCCCCTTCTAAGATATGCTCGTTCCGAGCATTATCAGCCCCATAATAACGCGCTAGTTGATCCACATGGACGATCTTAGGAGTACCTCTTGCACCTTTATGTATCCTGTAGGTTACTTCATCGATCCTTGTCACAATCCGGTACGGTCCGTCCCTCTTAGCTTGAAACTTAGCTGCGATTGGAGATTTCACTTAGCTGCGAACTGGATGGTGCAACCACACTAGTGAATCTTCGTTGAACCCTTTGTTGTTAATTTTGCGGTCATACCGGGTTTTCATCTTTGCAGACATTTGCTGGCCCAATTGTCTGACGTGCTCATGAATGTCATTCATTTTATTCCGCAAGTCATTTGCATAATCGGTTATACCGCGTGGGGCATCAGACGGTATTCCGGTGATCAGGTCTGCAAGCAGCCGTAATTCTCTTCCAAAGTTAGCGAAAGCTGGCGTCACTGATATAATTTCGTGAACAGCGCTTCGATATGACAACAAAAACAGTTGTATATGCTTGTCCCAATCCCGTTGCTGATTTTCCACAACTTTTGCTAGGTACCTCTCCAATGTCTGATTAAACCGTTCTACCATTCCATCAGATTGCGGGTGATAAGAAGTCGTTCTTGTTTTATGAGTGCCCATAACTCGGCAAGTTTCCTGGAATATTTGAGACTCAAAATTCCTTCCTTGATCGCTGTGAATCTCTAAAGGTACTCCAAAACGAGAGAAGACTTCATGAACTAGTTTATCTGCAACTGTTGAAGCTTCTTGATTTGAAATGGCGAAGAGCCACTTAGTGAAGTAAAACATCACAACCATGAAATACTTATTACCACTTTCACTTTCCGGAAACGGCCCCGTAACGTTAAGGGCTATCCTCTCCCATGGTGTACCAACATTGTACAATTTCAATACACCTCTACTACGAGTTTGAGGTCCCATTACAGCCGCACAACTTGTACATTTGTGACAGCAGTCCTCGACATCGCCACAACAGTGGACCCAGTAAAACCGTTCTCGGATCTTTAGTAGAGTTCATTTAACTCCCAAATGACCTCCTGAACAACCACGGTGGTACAGCTGTAGAACATTCGGTGCTTTAGCTTCAGGGACAACCATTTGCAAATGACAACTGTCTCCCCGACTATTTTCCCATTTACGGCACTGGAATCCATCCTGAATTAGCAAGCTGTCCCATTGGGCCCAATAGCTTTTCGTGGTCGAACTCATCGCTGAGACGTCGCTCTACTTTGGCTTAGGAGCACTGGCCTTCATCCATTCCAGAATCGGCTTGATGTGCGAATTTGTCCCGGTATTCGGCGACGTTTTCCCGAGAAATATTGGCACGGCCGGTGTATAAGGCATCACCAGTGCTGTCGTCTGCATAGCAATGAATGTTTTACCAGTTTGCAACATATAGATATGCAGAAGAAACAGCGTTGGTGATAGCACGCAGCCTTGTAGAACACCAGCGTTTATAGGCTTGTAATCAGAGCATCCACCGCACCGTCTACTACGACCTTGGTGCTGCGATCAGCAGGGAAACTGGTGATCCAATCGCACAATTTCTCGGGAAGCCCAGGAGCGTTTTGTTCCAGAGCCCGATCGAAGACCTTCGCTATATCTAAACTCCCACGGCCACTGCCTCCCACTTGGACTCTACTGCCTCCGCCCATCTATGAGTCAGGTAGATCAGAAGATCACCAGATGATCGACCACGAAGAAAACCGTATTGGTAGTAACTAATCAGCTGTAATCCTCAAAATACCTCATGAACTGGCAGTTTATAATGGACTCATTGGACTTATTTTGGAGAACAAGGTGATGGCGATAGGCCTGTAGATGGACGGGTATGAGTGGTCATCTTTTTAGGGATCGAGTGGACCAAAGCTATCTTCCACGAATTCGGGACAACGACTTGAAAATAGGAATACCGGAAAAAAACGCGTTAAAACCGGTGCCAACACCGGAGCACTCTTCTTCAGCACAATGGGAGGTACTCCATCAGGCCCACTCGAATTGCTCACGTCCAGGGAGAGGAGTACTTTGCGAACTGAGCACTGTGTTAACCGTCCATCCGTCATGGAGCACTCACACCGCAGGATGGTCGGCGGTGTGTTCCTCCGTTATCGATAGTTGAGTCGGACGCAAAGAGCGAGCCTAACAGATCGGCTTTCTCCTTTGCGGCATGGGCCAGTGAGTCTACCTTTCTGTGAAGAGATGGAAGAGATCATTGACAGAAATTCCTTTCGAAGGCCTTGGCGAGAGACCAGAATAGAAGGGTTGCTGAAGGAAGGCGAACTAGTTTCTAATTTTTGATAGAATTAACCGATTTTAATGAAAAAAAGACAATTTAACACAAAGATACGCTTTATAATTTCCTTACTGATTATTTTGATATAAATTAGTGCTTTATGCGTGATACGTTAACAAACAAACATACAGACAATTTTAAAAATGGTACAAATGTATTTTATTTACTTATTTTTAGCCCCCCCCCCCCCCAATCACTTCTATTACATAGATATAAAATGTACACACCTGCAATTTACATTTTTATTATATCTATAGAATAGATATAACCCGCTGCTTCGGTTCCGTAATCGGGTAAAGCGTGCGTGATAGATCGTAGAAACTATTCCAAATATGAGGCAATCAACGGGGAGTTATTGGATAAAAGGAAGAAACATATTTGTTGGTCCAATACAAACATTGCATTGCAAGCAAAGTAATTATTTACATAATATTATGTGTCCGTCATATCTCGTTTCTAATTAAACTTTATGGTGCTTGAAAATACTTATAGCGCCATCTAGATAAAATTATAGTAGTTATTTTATTATTACAGTAAATTAAAAATTATATGATATATAGAAAAGAAAGGGTAGGAATAATATAAAAAAAACTCAAAATCGAGTAACGTAATTTTTAAATTTCACAATGTAAATTTTAAACTTTTGGAATTGCAAAAGGGAAGTATAATTTGTTTACTGCCAAGCTTATATGATCATTGCCGAAACCAAAGAAATTGTTAATAGTTCTTTCAAAATTTGATTTACCATGTTGAAGATACACGGCGGCTAAGAAAAAAAATTATAAGCACACCTACTTAAAATATAATAAATAATTTGCACAACACCATCTATTGACGACATTGGTTAAATACTGTATTTTTTTAACTAAGATACTAGTATATGTATATTTTTTATAAATATTTATTACGTTATTCTTTATTATTTTGTTTACTGCGTTTAGATACAATTATATCTTAATAGAACATTATTTTTAAATGTCCTTGATCACTCAATGCTACCATTGACAATTATTAACATTGAACAAATTCATACCTATATTTCGTACCCGTACTTCAGAATATTAGTCATAACTTTTGAGGGGATGAACCGATTTTAATAAAACAAAGACTTAATTTAAAACGAAGATACCTACGCTTCACAATTTTCCTAACGATTATTTTGATATAAACCATGATACGTTAACAAACAAACAGACAATTCTAAAAATGATAAAAATGTATTCCAGTTACTTATTTTTAGTCCCTTGCAAGAGATCCTGTTTAGGTATTGAAAGTTCGAAATGTTAGTTTTACTTTTTCTTGTTTACTTAATGAGGTCACCGTTACAGCCTATTTATAGTTAACTGCTGATTGTAGCTCCCCCCCCCATAGATTTCCTTATAGAGGGGATGTTTCCCATAGTTAGCACGCTTGGCAACCGCAGATTATTATTTTTAGTCGTTAATAGGAAGACGCTGCTTCCCATCTGATTTGTATCCCTCTGTCACATCTTACGATACGGGGGTAGTAGATATTTTTACACCGCCGCTACACGATCAAACCTCATTATTCTATAATACAAAGTTTATAACGAAAGGTTGATTATAAAAAAAAATAACGATTTTATACCAAAACAATAATTATTTATATTCTTATTAAATACATCATGTTTAGCGAAAAAATTAATGTATCAATATTGTAGAGGTCATAATAATAAAAAATGTACCTCTTTACTTTGTATAAAATCCCAAGATAGTGGCTAGCATTAGAAAAGTGACATTCACTCTCAGTGACAATAACTATTACATTTTTTGGGTGTTTGCACTGCCCGAGCGACTATTCCCGGTGTTACTAATATTTCATAATAGTACTTTTCCACTTCGCGACCTTCATAGGGTATATAACATAATTTATAAAGCAAATGAACTTTCCCGCATATAAGATTTCCTTCAATCATAGCACGACCAATATAGAGTGGCTGTTTGTTAACTTCAGAAAAGCCCCCTATGAAAGCGTTCTCTGGGATATTGTTGCCTTCACACTTCATCCATTGAGCATCAAAGCCACATAATATCTAAAGCAAAACAAAAACATTAAATCAACATTTTTTAATAACTTTCTGTAGAGTTCAGCTGTAAATTAGTGTCATTTTTAAACTGTTTGACCGTTTCAAATCCGAACAAGTTTGTACGGCATACAAAATTAGTTATACAAGCAATTGCTCTGTATTAGGGTGTTTACGTGTAATCGGCCGAGTAAGGACCACGCTTGCACTTCCAGCGCAAAATAGAAGCATAATGTTGCTGTCTTTCATGGTCTGTGTTCGCTGCGTTGTGGGTGATTAAATCGCGAGATCCTTAGATATATAAAATAGAAACTAATTAATTGTAGCTGCTGCTAAATTGCAAAATAATAATATCATTACTCTAATATAATCAAGTACCTTCATGCATTTGAGATAACTATTCGATTTAATTTAAAAGTATTTAATAGCAATAAGTGTTTAAAAGTATTTAATAACTTTAAAAAAACTCTAATTGAAGGTGATCATTAGTTTTAGGCAAAAAACTTAAAACAGCACGGGCACGAAACTAGCAACGGTCCAGCGATGGCTGTTGCGGGGTGGTGCGATATTTTTTTTGCGCCCAGAAACGAAGAAGGTCTACCCTCCGGGAAGCGGGGGAGAGAGGTGGTGAATGCTCAAAGCATACCACGCAGCCGGCTGCGTGGTTATGTGGAGACTTTCACCCACTGAACACCAACCTGTGAGATCGTTCAGCCGTACCGAAAGCGACCCCACTTGGATGAAAGAGGGGCGCAGTGAAAAATGGCAGCGGCATCAACCAACGTTAAAGATGCATTGAAAAAAAAATGTATAAGCCAAAGTGCAGTGCAAGTTATATACGTACACTTTTTTTCTTACAGTCGTTTTTCTCTTTTTTTCTTCTCGGTATTCTTTTAATTTCATTCAAGTAATTAAATCACCCTTGCAACCTGTCGCCTCGCTGCCGCCATCGCTCAACCGTCGTTAATTTCGTGCCCGCAGCCTTAGAGTATAAATAAGCGTAACTTGCTTATTTATTTTTTATTTTATTTATTTAGAAAACCAACAGCTTTAAACTAAATAAAATTTACAACAGATCGGATTATCTTATCATATTACGGCTTTCCCTATATTATCTATACATAATTTAACACTCCATTAGTCGCGCGTTCTACTATTGTAGAACAGGCATGCATTTCGTGGGATTTTAACATTAATTGTGGGTGTCTAACGCACACACTCATAGTATTCCTCTATTACTAGCTGGTGATCACAATTATTACCCTTTCGGCAAACTGCGCGATCGCACTTGTTAGAAATTTCGCACCAAAACTAAAATTCTACAATAGTAGAGCGCGCGAGCACTCGCGTGTCATTTTTGTCGGAAGTTTACCTATCGTTTTTATTTTATGTAAGTGTTTATATTATGTGTAAATATTGTTATTATGATTTTTTTTGTTTGATAATATTATTTTTAACCGAAGTAACTATATTTCGCACAATGATGGCACATATTTTGAGATGGTTGGAAGAAGTTATTACTAATGAAGCAACCAGCAAAGTATGGGATAAACATATTTTTACTAACGGATACAAAGGTACCTTATGCCTACCATATGGAAATATACGCAGGTGCTCAGCCAGATGGTCCTTATGCACAATCAAATAAAGTGGTGGACATTGTGCTACGAATGCTTACCCCATTGGATGGTTTAGGTTATAACGTCACAATGCACAATTGGTTCACGAATATACGTCAATTATTAGAACTCTTATGTAGAAAAATTACTGTCGTAGGTACTGTGAAGAAAGATAAGCCACAAATTCCCAAAGAATTCAAAATCACAAGAAACAGAAGCAAAACGAGTTCAATTTTTTGCTTTCAAAAAAAGTTACTTAGTATCTTACATGCCAAAATCAAAGAAAGTGGTGCTTATATACTCAACTATGCACTATGATGATCATATCGATTTAAAAACAGCAATAGTAAGCCGGAAATAATAACTTTTTACAACAATACCAAATATGGCGTGGACATTTGTAGTATTTATGACGTCTCCAAAAACTCTAGACGATGGCCACTTACCATTGTTTTTTTAAATTAAAGAATATAAGTGCTATAACGGTTATATTGTACATACAATAAAAAAAGGACTACAGAAATAAGGCCAGGAAGGATTTTTTATATGAATTTGGTTTTCACCTAGTCGCGCCATGCATACAACGCAGAATAAATATTGAAAGTATTCTAAATACATTGAAAATGAAAGGGAAAATACTTTTGGGCATGAAAGAGCCATCGGAATTACAACCATGCCCAGCACAACTCCTCAACACTGGTCGAGTAGGGAAATGTTCCATTTGTGGCAGAGCGCGCAATAAGTCCACTAGAAAACAATGTGACACCTGTAAAAAGTGGATTTGTCCTCAACATCAAGTTCTTCAATGCCTTGACTGTTGTAAAAATGATAAAGACTGTGTGGAAGAGATGAGCGAGTAAAAAAAGGAGACTGAGAAGGTTTGATGCCAAAAAATCATTGATTTTTCTCAAAATTCACAAGAAGTCTGATATTAAGTGCCTAATAAATGGTAACAGTTATGTTTCGTCTATTTTAGTTTCTTATTACAGTTTGTTTTCATATGATATTGAAGTATTTTTATATTTGTTTATTGTTCCTGTAAAATTTTTACACAAAATAGTTCTACATATGTAGAGCGCGCGAGCACTCGCGTCCCAAACAGGGGCGCGCGTAATGGAGTGTTAAAAGAATGAGCGACGATTCCTTATCGGTATAAAGATGAATAATCAGCGGTACTACAATAAACATTGTATATACAACATAATGTGTGTGTGTGTGTGTGTGTGTGTGTGTGTGTGTGTGTGTGTGTGTGTGAGCGTGTGTGTGTGTGTGTGCGTGCGCGCGTGCGTGCGTGTATGTATGCGTGCGTGCGTGTGCGTGTGTGCTCGTATATTTGATCTGAGTTAATACCTTAATCATAAATGACTATTCAAGAGTTTTTTGCATACTACAGTTTTATAGTTTTCTCTCTTTTTCGTAAAAATATCAATATTGTCAAAAAAATTATAGGTGCAACACATCCGATTTATTGGTAAGTTTTTGGTATATTTAGTATGAAAATGAGAGATGAAAAATAATTTAGTGTGTCTTGTACGGTATATGGATGTGGAGAAGTTGATAAGTACAAGAAAATGCGGAAAATTATCTAGGCAGCCGTGAATGAGATCATATAATGTCATTTTATCAAGCATTTTTCTTCTATCTGCTAATGAAAGGAAGTTATGGAATATACATTTTTCTTTGTATGTTTGATGTTGTTCTTTAATTCTGTAGTCCATAAACATTCAAAAATTTTTTTTGTAATACTTCTATTTTGTTAATATACGTATAGTATTAGTACGTATATATATGCACATATACATATATATATATATATATATATATATATATATATATATATATATATATATATATATATATATATACGTATAGTGGACATCATATGTTGCTACCATACTCTAATATACTGCGAACGTAGGCATAATATAATACTTTAATACAGGGTAAGTTATTGAAAGGTTGGCATGTACGTATTAAGAAGTCTAAGTTTCTATATGATTTATTTGTGAAGTAGTCAATATGATTACTAAATGTAAGCTTGGAATCCAATAAGATACCAAGATCTCAGACTACCTCTGCTTTTTGAATTATTGATCCGTTCAATCTGTATGCATATTCAACCGGTTTAGTTTTGCGTGTAAATGTGCAAGTTTGACATTTCTTGACATTAACTGTCATTCGATTATATTTGTAATAATGGTCCAACCTGTTTAAGTCTTGTTGAAGCTTATGGCAATCATTTAAATTGTTAGTTTTAATAAATATTTTTTTGTCATCTGCATACAGCAAGAATGAGGAATGTTTAAAGCATGTATATATAGCATATAGATAAGTGTTATACAGAAGGGGCTCTAAGTCCTCCTACAACTACTGCTTGGGAACGATTTTTTAGGTAAGACTATCCATCTCAGAAGGTCCCCGTGTATTCCTAGTTTTTTTAACTTACGAAGCAAGGTTCAAGAAGTTAAAGTATCCTTAATAGTTACTTGGTCCTGAGAAAGAATATCTGAAATATGTTTTAGATTACATAGTTGTTCCTTTAATGACGATACTTCATCATGTATTTTTTTAATATTCTCCTCTTGCGATGTTTTGGATTCAGTAAGAAAGGACATTATCTCTTTCCTAAAATCATTTAATTCGGATTTCATTGCTTCTACTGGTTGTTTTCTTTTTGATCTTTGGAGGGTAATATTACGTTGCTGTGTAACCTCGTTATCGTATTTTGCATTATCGGGCTGGGAACTAACAAGAACAACTTTGGCCGCAGGTGGAGATTTTTGCGGGTTCATTATGTATCACAAACCATATTATGAGGCCTGTGATGCAGTTATATCGAGCGTCAAGTGGGACAAAAAATTTAAGAGCCCGTGCCCTTTACTCGAGGGGGTGAGGTGTGGGGATTCACTGACTGAGAAACACTACTAAACTGTTCATACAAATAATAACTTAAGTTAAGTTCCTTAATGAATGCACAAGATTATCGTCTTTACTTTGATTACTTAAAGATTTATTTTGATTGTTGTCACTTCAGAATAAATTAGAACGACAGGAGACACGTCCGCTCAGTACAAACGCTCACGACTATGCTCTTATAAGCAGTAGAGCCACGCTGCAGCTATATTATGGTTGTAGCACGAATGGGTCGGCTCGACCGGAGAAGGACCACGCTCTCACAGAATAGCAGCGTAAAATAGCAGCTTAATACTGCTGTGTTTTGTATGGTGAGTGTAGAGATCCGGAGACTCTTTTTACTGGAAACGAAGCATTCCATCTTAGTCTTCAGGGGTGACAACGCATCTGCGTTTTGATTCTTAATTGAGGATAAATGTAGATGTTTATGGGCCACAGCATCTACTTACCATCAAGTGGACAGTGTGCTCGTTTGTCACCCTTATTCTATAAAAAATGCTCTAAGAGCAATTACAGATAAGGCGTTTGAAGCACGCGCATTGGTAACGCGCGTTTTAAAAACCATCCAGTCTGATATGTCCGTACAAACCTCAACACGCGCTTCTATTCAAGTCAGATTTTAGATAGAACGCTCATTGCGCGGGCTTTAGCCACGCGCGTTTTCGTGTACAGTGGACGCACGTTGACAAAAATGAAGATATATAGAGACACATTTTGATATAGTTTTCTAGGTCGAATAAATCCAAAATCGATCACCAGGAGCTAATTTCTTTACGATGTAATCAGAATCAGTCAAAAGAATCAAAACATGAAAATACTATTTATTTGTCTAGAGCTAAAATACTTAAATAACCTACCTCAAAATGTTTCTTTCGATGTTCCTCGTGACCCCAAGCTATAAAAGAGTGACGTTTCGAGGGTACATATTTTCCCGGGCAAAGCGACTGGTTGTGATGAGAACGAGCGATATAAATCGGTTCATTTTCGAAACCACCTATCATAGCGTCCGGAGGCAATAATCCTTTTCCTGTCATTGGCATCCATTTTAATTTACCACCTTTAATTTGTATAATTCTGGGCAGCTCTGAAGATACTGGTGAACCTAGGAATTAAAATTCAGTACTTAATTAAATAAGTCTACTATTAATCGGTTATGATTTCTCATAATTTACAACTCGTATCGGTTAGGTACCTATCGTCACACATCTCATCCATCGTGTCAATGTTATATATGACAAACGAAAGATATTCAGCTATCACATCAGGATATGATGTGAAGACTTATTTCACATAAGCTAGGTTAAAATTCTGATCCAGTCGAATAAAAAATATTCATGTGCCATTATTCATGTCATCATGAAACGATGGTTATTAGTAGAACCAGTTTATAAATATACGTCAACGAAAAACTATAGCAAGATACTAAAAAGACCATCATCCCCGCCAGCCAAGAGATTCAAAGAGTTAACGTCCGCTGGAATAATAATGGCCTCTTCTGTGATGTGAAGGTATAATAGTGATGGTTCATTTAAGTAAAGGAGATTATTACGCATCATTAATCAAAAACTACGCGAAGAACTAAATAATAAAAGTGGAGGAAAATTGCGTGCTTGAGTGCTTTTTCATCCTAATAATGCCCCTGCTCATCGATCTGATGTTGCAGGCGCTGACATCCGAACTGCTGGGTGTAAGTAGATGCAAAACCCCGAAGTTAAAAGTAAAATACCCGTTAAATATATGAATATTCGACAGCGACGAGGAGGTAATGAGTGCTATAGAGCCTTTTTCGAGTCCCAGGATCAGGCCTTTTATCCAAGGGAATTAACCAACTTGCAAAACGCTATTCAAGGTGTATTAGCTTAAAAGCTTAAGTACTTGTTCTAGAATTACATTGCTTTTCCAAAAACTTATTCTTAACTTCAACCTGTTGATACATTCATTGATATACTATTAATGATATACATATATACAGGTAAAGCAAGTTACAAGAATAAACAAATTAAAAGATTATGATATTAAAATTACTTTCAAATATCCAGTCGCTTATGACATGACTACATTGTGTTATAAATTTGATAAAACCAATAGCTGGGACTTTTGCATTGTTCTCAACATATTCAAGGAAGGGTGCATCACCAACCAGCCCAATACGAATGATACTGCTAAACCATGTCACCAAGAATTCTGTATATTCTAATAAATCGATGTGGGGTGTTCCGACAATAATAGGCTGTTGACCAGTAGCAAAAGTTGAAACTAAACTGCTGGATTGTCCCAAAGCAACCTGAAATAACAAATAACATTTTTAACTTTGTAGAACTCAGTGCGAAATTGTTTCAAGTAAAACATAAGTATGAGCAAAAGTATTCCCTCCCGAGAATATCAATCATTATTTATTATCATATTGTGATAAAATGAAAGTTGTTTTATAAATAAACGATATAAGTATGTAGTTATTTAAAGATGTTAAGAGTTACTTTGCAACCATCTGCTCAATAAAATAAAATGATGTCTTACCTAGTAAAAACAAGGCCAAATTGGCCTCTAAAAAACATGGCGTACTCAGCAGAGTGGGACAGTACTTCATGCCGGCAAGCCGCCTGCAACTTTACAAGCCGCAGGTTCGGCCGTACATGAAATACTGTTCCCATCACTGGGCTGGGACTCCCCAGTGCCAGCTCCTTCCACTTCCCGCATCCAGCGTAGAGCGGCTCGAATCGTCGACGCCCGAGTGCTTTCCGATCGGCTCGATTCACTGGCGCTGTTGCTCTTTTGCATTTTCTTTCGCATATACCACGGGGGAGTGCTCTGAGGAATTGTTCGGATTAATCCCAGCCGCCAAATTTCGTGAACGCACTACGCAGCAAACGTCCCGATATACCATCCACGCCATCACGATACTTGGCAGTCCACCACTGTACGTTTCACAAGTAGTTTTTTTCCGCTTACGACCTCTGTGGAATAGTTGACCACCAGCGATTTTTCCGGACCGATACGACCTAGGGACCTTCAAGAAAAGAGCTTACTCCTTTCTAAAAGGCCGGCAACGCACCTGCAATGTCTCTGGTATTGCGGTTGTTCAAGGGCGGCGGTAGTCACTTAACATCAGGTGAGCCGTATGCTCATTTCCCCCTTTTCTATTAAAAATAGTTTGAAGAGCACCTCCCGCTCTACATCACCTGAGGATGCCTCGTGTCCTCTACACGTGTAGTAAGACGACACGAAAGACGTGTCGTATTATCGTCAATGGTGTGTCTTTCCTAGTGTAGTGGTGCTGGGATTTTTGGTGACGGGATTAGTGCACGCAATTGAGGTAGGGTGGGAGGTGATCTTCAAACTAGGTAAGACACGTCATTTTATTTTATTGAGCGGATGCTTACAAAGTAACTCTTAACATCTTTAGTATAATGGGTTTCCGTAAAGTAACGCCTAATTATACGCCTATAATTACGTAGTTATTTTTCAGTGTATCCAAATTTTATATTTAAGTTCAAAAATTATAATGATATACCGTCATTGCAGTTTTTGAAAATACAAGAAAGGTTTCTACTTTTATTTGAAATTATCCCAAATTGAATGGATTATTTTTAAATTTATTTAAGGACCTGTAAACAACTTCAACAGAGGTTAATAACTGCATGTCGCTAATTATGATTATAATTTTGCCTTCACTCTTTAAACGGTCTTAGGATAGTCATAATAAATAAAATTTAAAAATATATTTATGCTATCAACGACGTAAACGATGACTGCCATTATTAATTTATTGTTAAGTCGTATTAAAAAAAAAACTAGAATAAACCATTTACAACCAAATTACACAAGTAGTCCTCATACTAACACCGGTACCTCAAAATGGAATCCATTTTGCTACATGCATAGACAAGCTCGTTTTCTTCAACTATTTTTTACAAATATTGTCTATACAACTATACTATTAATATAACTGCAGCATGGTGCTACCACGTATATATCTTATAAAAAAAGGACCACACTGAAGTAGCCCTTGTAATGGGGCTTGGCAAGGCCAATTCGAGTTCGTAAAGGGACTCTGGGAATGTCGGTGGACTGAGACATATTGGTCGTCCTCTTATACCCCCTGTTGCACCACCCACCTCTATCTTTTGCGCTGGTTTTCCAACTTTGCTGGCCAAACCGAGGGGTTTAGTTCTGGTCTTCTCTTTCTTTCTCTTCTCTTTCTCTCGTTCTGGGTGCATTTCTCAGGCTACTTTGCCTCCCTCCATTGCTATAGACTCAGAGGTCCATTGCGCCAGTGGAGATTGAGGCTCATACATCTTGCCTGAGGAGAATAGGAGTTGTCCTTCTCCAAAAATTGGCAAGTGCCAATAAGCTACACCACAATACCATATTAACCAAGGAAGAATACCACAGAGTTATAGTTGTTATGAATTGGACACAAAGAGTTTTTACCGTGCCGTTTTTATTCTGACCTTTAAATAGTTACTGGAGTAAAGCACCATATTCCAAATATGAAAACAATTTTGATTAATAATGGTTATGACCTTTTGTGAAACTTCTCAGTTAGTTCTTATGATAGAGACAAAAGCAAAATCTATGCCTTAATTCTTACAACAAGCACAAATCTAAAGCCACCAGTTGTATACATTTTCTTCGCTTAAAAACTATTTTTAAATGTAATAAATGCAAAAATACCTTGTAACAATCCTTATGTGGGCAATCTTTAGATACAAGTATGAATGTGGCGAGTTCATTACTTTTCACTTTGAATTTAATTGCACAGTTATCCACTTTACATAATTTGTAAGGTTTATCTAGCTCTGAAAAAAGGGATATAGTAGTAAATAGAATTAGATGTTGCTGTAGTCATGTTATTCTATACTTATATTATTACTCATATTTACACTAAATGTTAGATTAGTGCAATGCCATATAAGAAAATAACAAAATATGGACCCAAAAGGTACTGTAGTCAAGGTAATAATAAATTTTCTATTTACCCTCCTCAGTCCTAGAGTATATTTTGAGTGTCATTTTTGGAATTTACCATCTTTTATTATAAAATATATATTTTTAGGTATGTTGTTATATCAGGAACGTAAATATTTTTCTGAAAATCTTAAAAAACCATGTATCCATCCAATAGGGTACATTGGGTTTCAATGATTCCAAAAGTACTCAAAACACCATATATTTTCAATTTTTATTTTTATTCGAAAATTCGTTATTTTTCAGTATTACAAATATTTTTTATTTAATAATTAATCTTACTGTATAAGCTACAATTCGTGATAGTATTTATAGCAATTTCTTCCACTCATCAGACACAAAATCACCTTACAAGTTGGGCATTTCTTGCCTTAGTGGACTCAACCTGGCAGTCTGCAACGGTTTTGAGTGTCCAAAACAATAGGTAAGTGATCAAATTTTCTCGTTTTTACGAAATCAGATGGATGTTGAGTTCGAGCCTGCTTGCTTTGGCTTGCAACCGGCACGGTGTCATCATCAGCAGAAAGATCTTCTTCTATTTCCTTTTCATATTCAGAAAGTCAGCTATCGCTTCTCGAAACCCAAGACAGTCCAGTATGTCTTTTTTAGTACCTAGCGTCTGATTTATATTTTATCTGCTAATCTGCTAATATGCTGCCAAAGCAAAAATCATATAAATGGAAGATGAGTCTAATTGTCCACGTGCGTGTTCTGGATAAAATTCTCTAGTAACTTATAATCCGATCCAAGTAATCTACACCACCCATTTTTTCATTGTAGTGTTTCACTACATCTGGACGCTGTACCGGGATGTACCTGTTTTGACATCATAACTGTTATGCCAAAATGTTCTCATCTCCTTTTTTGACATATTCAGATTCTGTCCAGTTTCTGCAAGATAGCTTTGGTTTGTGTGGAAAGGGATTAGCTCATAGAAGTCGCTGGGTATATACTTGGGTCACATACTCGTTTGGTGGTAAATTTATGGCCAATCGATCAGTTTCCTCAAAGGTAGGTGCTGGTGGCTATGGCTCAAAAACATTTATGGTTGTCCAGAACAGGTGACAAGGTTGTAAAAAATCTAGTGCTGGTGACTGATTTTGGGAAGATTGGCTATAATTTTGGGTAGAAGCCTCACCAATATCTTCACTGTGTTTATCTTCATCTGATCTGTCATCCTCTTTGTCTTTATGACCTTCAGCTTCAGGATTGAACGTTGGATCATCATCAGAATCCTCATTCCCCACATCAATATCTAACAACATCTAAATCGAATCATCCCCGTTGATGATGTCAATTAATGCTTTCTCTAACGAAGATTCTGTAATATAAGCAAATAAATATAAAAATAACTAACAATGTGCAGAAAAATTGCAAAAGGTAATGACAAATATGCGAAAATGTAATGTATTGAATAATATGGGAAAAATATTTTTTTTTTATTAACATTGAAACCCAATGTCCCCATATGGAGACAACCAGGTTTACCTACATATGAGAAAAATTTGGCAAATTCGAACCAAAAGAATTGTACACAAAACTGCTCTGAAACTATTTCAAAACATAAAATAGACTATAATTTTCATGTGTCAATTCAAATATAGAAGAAATATTCAACTTACCTTGATTAGGATCACCTATTTTAAAAAAAAATCGGGAGCTCATTTTTAAACACTTGCAGAAAAAAAGGGTGCATTCAATTGACTGCAGATTGATTTGAGCGGTACTGCTATCTTTCGAAAAATGTAAAAAGCTCTAACATCACTGCCAACGTCTTTTAACATAGTTTTCTGAATATCTGCATGATGGTGTAATGTCTCCATATGGAGACATTTGGAGCGAGGAGGTTACACTTAGAAGCTCAGTGTGAAACTCATATCACCTAAACTAGCTGAGAGTGCAGATGAACATCTGCAGGGCCAGCAAATATGTACTTAATATAAATATTCACACAAAGTATATACTTACTCATTCCATACATTTTTATTTGGTTATACCAAAATTCTGTATTGAATAAGTAATAATAATAGTAATAGAAATTATGCTTCGTAATAATAGTGACGAGAGCTTGAGCTTGTAGACAATCTGCGATAGTATCAAGGCGCCAAAGGAGACACAATAACTTGAGGTTCACATCACCATCGAAGCACTTGTTTCATCGTTCCTACTAATAGTTCATTTGTACACAAACGCGCTGAGATTTAGTACACAAAATCGCACCAATTTTACGTATCAAAATACTTTCAAACAATTATTCAAACGATAAAACACGAACCACAATCCACCAGCACCAGCGGTCAAACATTTTCCCCCTATATAATAATTTAATTTATAATTTGTGTAGGTATATAATGTTCTAGTTTTTTTGCAAACAGTTATCTTAAATGAACTTTATAACTTTATATTCATTGAGTTATACAAAACTGTGTAATATATAAATCATGTTTATAATTTTAAATACCTATCATCCCGTTAAACGTCAGAGTGAAATAAAGGGTATGCAGTGTTGCCGTTTTGTAAATGAAAAAAAATGCCAGACTTTCTCGGTGATAATGCTAAAAAAGTGCTAAATCACACTTGAATATGCTAAAAAAATGCCAGCTATTAAGTCTTGTTTAAATGAATAAGAAATGAAAATAAATTGCAAGTAGGTAGTGTAACTAAAAACGCAATGCTATTTTGAAGTAAAATTAATCATCAAGATAAATCAAATAATATTTGTAGATCATCAATATCAGCTTCGTCGTGTACTTGTGCTTGTGATGTTGAAGGGCCATCTTCAAAAGCAATAGTCATTGGCATCACAAGCGACTCTTTAATCCCTCTAATCTGTTTTAAAACATGTTCGGGAGCGTTATAGGAATGCCAACATTTTCCTGGTCTTTTAAGGCCATTTCTGATGTGTAGGATCGAGTTCAGAGTATGTAGTGACATACGATTTCTTAATTTTGTTTTTACAATATTCATTTGGCTGAATACTCGTTCTATCTCAGCATTCGAGTGTGGCAAAGAAAGAATAGATATGGCCAAAGAAGCTAACTCCGAAAATGGATTATTATCCGCCGAGTCTTTGTATTTATGAACCTCCAACCAAAATTCGACAGTTGAACATTTATTTTCCCAGTCGGTATGTTGATGTATAACTATACGTTCAATTTCATTGGCCTGGCAGCCGAATTCTTGTGCGAGTTCTATTATTGGTAGTTTTGTAGCTTTTAAAGTTTTTTGTACAGAAATCATATTCATTGTTCGTAATATCTTTATATTTGTTGGCAACTTTGATCGCATTTATTGTACAAGTTTAAGTGAAAAAAGGTTACAGCGGTGCCGCAGATTACGTTCGGTTGCAGGTAAAAGTTCATATTCAGTCAGCTTCAGTTCAAAATCATAGCCCATGTATGGAGATGGGTCTAGATAGCTTTCAAGATTTGTAGCTGTCAACACATCAATTCGCGTTGTTGGCAATATGATTTTTCTGGCGACTGATTCAACCAGTTCAACCAAATCATTCAGCAGTTTAGTCGGGTCTCGGTCGTTGCTTTCAAAATTTTTATTTACCCTTTGCACTTCATCTAACATAGGCAATAAATATAGCAGATACAGATGATTCACAGGATCGTTATACATAGAATAAAGCATTTCAGCCATATAGCAATTTTCTTTTTGTTTGACAATTTCGAAATGCGTTTTTAATTCCAGCCATTGATCTATAACCCGGCGGACAGCAGGCTCAATAGACAACCATCGCGTACTGCATACCTGAGTTATTTTCAAAGGTTCTTTTCCACAGTTAATGGTCTTGTATAGCTCCTTGTAAAACAACTGTTGGTTGGAGGAATGGCTAAACCAATTATATGTTTCTCGGATTAAAAACTCAATATTTCTCAGAAGTGACTCCTCAGACGCATGTGTGATAGCTAATTGCAGGGAATGGCAAAGGCACCGCACCAAAACCAGATTTTCATTGCCAGTTTCAGTTTTTAATAAGCTGTGAACACCGTTGTTGACACCAGTCATAGAACTGGCATTATCAGTCCCTATACTTATTAAGTTTTTTATATTTAGTTTAAGCTCTGCAACAAGAGTCTTGAGGCCGTTTACTATAGCATCAGCTGTCCCGTTTTCTGTGTCAACCAATCCTAAAAATGTCGTGATAATATTTTTATGTGAACTGTCATAATATCGGATTGATGTGCCGAGAATTTTTGTGACTGAGATGTCTGTGGATTCGTCAACCAGTTATTATGGCCTATATCTGCAACCAGTTCTGAAATAAAGTGTGGTGCCAATGCATATTTAATGATGTTGGTACATTTCGTTCGGTGTAATTTAATATCGGCACTTCGACTATCAGAAAATGTTTTTTTACACATTTCGGACAAGTGGTCCACTGTTAAAGTAGATGCATGTTCACTTATAAATAACGCAAGTGAACACTCTGCTCTTTGGGTATCTAGTTGAATATGCACCTTAGGAAAATCAATTTTTTTTTACTTTTTTTCGGCACAAAATATTTCCCATGTTTTGATGTACCAATGTGTTGTTTTAAACAGGATACTTTGGCTATAATGTTGCACTTACAGTATTTGCAGTAAGCTTTGGTCGAATCTTCTTTAGCTCGTGTAAGCCATTGTTTAAACTCACTCATCTTCTCCCATTCTTCTCGATAATGTTGTTCATATTTTGGAGGCATATTATCCCTCCAAAGTCAATTGTAAATTACTTTTAAAGCACACACACAAAACAAAAGCACAAACGTTTATTTTAAAGCTATTGCAAGTATCGGTACTTGCACTTGTTGAGTAATGGTCCGAATGCGAATGAATCAAAACATTAAACTCGCTGGAACACGGAACGGCACTTACTCGGAAAATAAACAAAATCTTTCACTATTCGGGAAAGTCCCCAAATCATAATAGAGTTGCCATAATAATCAATCACAGTAACAATTTAAATTTTTTTGTCTATGGGTTTAGTTCAATCTTTTGTACAGAGTAAATATTTAGTGAACAGTGAGATATGGCAGTGAGTGTAAACAATTTGTCTATCCCATAAAAAGAATTGAAATCACTAGTACGTAAAATTCGAAAAATGCTAAAATATGCAATATGCTAAAGCCAATTGTTTCATGCCAACAGGTTTAAAAATATGCCAAATTTAGCATTAAAAATGCCACATCGGCAACACTGAGGGTATGTTCCGAAATACAACACAGTACACTGTCGAATGCGAATGACGTCATAAATCGACGCCATATTGGTGATTCGTTGTATCGAATATGGTGGAATACGACGTCAATTAATGACGACATTCGCATTCGACAGTGTACTGTGTTGTATTTCGGAACATACCCCATAATTAAACAGTGTTTCCAGCCCCTACCAAATTTTACCCCAAGATTTTTTAAATCTCCTACAAAACCCCGTGTATTGGTTCTCGTAAATAAAATTTCTTTGATGTAATGCCCAACTGCCCAAGTCATTCGTAACTCGTAAAATAGAACTATATGTTTGTAATTGACAATGTCCCATAGGAGAATAGTTGAAAATGTGTCCATCTGTAAGCAGTAAATAACAGTTCAAAAACTCTCCACAACAGCGCTAGAGTAGCGAGAGGGTATGAAAAATCACCGTAAACACGTTGAGAGTGATTTTGAAAACAATAAAATAATTATTAAAAAAGAATTATAGTGAAAGGCTGTGCAATAAAAAATTATAAAAAGTTCTTTAAAATTTATTCTAGGTATAGCGGTGCCACTCTTATTTATCGCTTTTCTACGGACACTTTTTATACATAGTTTGTTCTTCTTATCTCTACACTCCATAGAAGGCACGCTCCGCAGGGGCGTTAGAAACACACAGCGTCAATAAGGCCACAGTAAACGTTGCAATGTTTCGAAAACGTTTGCAGTTAACAGCATCGCAATCCTCATACACTTAAGAATAGAATTCAGCGGAAGAACTGGAAACAGTAAGTAGTCGCAGTAACTCACGCCTCACCCACTGACACGTGAATTTGGACCAAGCCTCCATAAAGTTTAAATTGGACTGCATTGTGGTAAGAAAAATTAGTATTGCTTGAACGTAACCAAAAACACTACGTTTTTTGAAATATAATTGTGTTTGTGAATATTACAGAATTACTGTCCAGTATGAGTTGAAGGCATTTTACTGAAATCCTATGTAATGGAATAAATATTAATTATTGATTGCGATCTTTTCATTTTAAATACAATAAAAGTTATAAGACTAATTTACGAATTTTTCAGTAAGGTATCTGTGGCCGTGAAAGGAAAAGGAGAGATCTCCCGCCGGGCAAGCTGCCTGGGGAGCGGCTAACGCTCCGTGTGATACTTCGGAGCTGTTCCATATATACTGTTTTACTTCGAAACTTTGATAACGCGATTTAGGCTTTGATTTGTTTCGCTCGTGGCGCGACGACAGTGCCGCCATACCACTCCCCTGCTCAGGCCAGAGGTCGATAGTACAGTTTAGTAGTCGACGAATATGCAAGTGCCAGGGGATAGATAGGGGATAGCCTTGTAGTCTGTGGTGAGTGGAGAAGATTAAGATTTTATATATTTAGATTTTAGAGAGGAAGGCAAGTAATCTGTGGCAGTGCCGTGAAGCAGAGGCGAGCCGTAAGGCTCAGAGCCGTGCTGAACATTGTAGCGCAGAGTAGCTTGAAGCAACAGGAAGCATTATTATTTCAATGCTGTGATGAACCTTGTAAAGCCATCTAGGTTTGCAGGATGTTAAGTCTGCAGACGATATCTGCTCGGGAACGAATACGTGGGGTACTTTATGACGATAATGAAGCTTGAAGTTTAAATTGCCGAAGGTTGCGTTGTTGCATGTTTAGATCCCGTCGGATGGTCACCCTTGTGGCCGTGAAGGAAATGGGGAGATCTCCTGCCGAGTAAGGTGTTCTGCCCGGGGTGTGGCCAATGCTCCATGAGACACTTCGGAGCTGTTCTATATATACTGTTTTTACTTCGAAACTTGATATACTTAGTATGTGCCAAATCGATTGAGAAAAACGGACAATGACCTCAGATATGAGCCAAGTGTCAAAAGGCGTAACCTACAAAATTTCAATTTAGATGTGATAACAATATATATATTGTTATTATTCACACTTCTCGGTCAGCACATATGTTTTTTTTGTTTCTTAACCCTTCGATCCCCATAAAATCCGATGTAGTCGCATGCGCCCAGCAAATCCCGAGTAGTCGCATGCAACCGCACCCACCCGCAGCACTTAAAACCATTAAAAGTTATATTTAGAGACTACTTTTCTATGAAGAAGTTTGGCATTATAAAATCTATACAAAATTCTCTATATAAAAGTCAGGTTTTACCAGTGGCGTAACGTGCCTTAGGCAGACCCTGTATCAAAATTTGTTAGGGGGCCCAAATGAATGGTCCAAAACCGCTCGCAGTGAATTAAAATAATTATATATTGTTTATAAATTAATAATTACTATTATTACTCCTATGAACTAATGTAGCCAAACAAAATCAAATATAAGCTTATCTTGTCTTGTTCGGCGAACTTTAATAGGTCAGGGAAAAAGTTTCTTTGTATTTTATAAACACATTTCTTTTTAAAAGTTATATTACATAAAAAATCTAGGGGTGCAAGGTCAAGACTACATGGTGCATGGATTAACACTTCCCAACCAAGCTCTCTCAATTTTTGCTAAGTGGCTAAAGATCTGTGTGGTCTGGTGTTATCATGATGAAAGACCACTCCTTTTCTGATGATCAATTCCGGCCGTTTTTTCTCAATTTCTTGCTTGAGTCTTACTAGTTGTTGGCAGTAGAGATCCGAATCGATATTTTTGCCTGGCTTCGAAAGCTCATAATACGGTGCCCTTTTCATCCCACCATACACACAGCATCTCCTTATTGCGTGTTAATTCGAGTTTTGCTGCAGTCTGTGGACTTGACTACCCTTTGATTATGATCTTTTTCGCACGATCTTGTCGTAGGTGATCAATTCTTATCACCAATGATTAATCTTTTCAAAAATGGTTTAGTTTTATTACGTTTAAATATAGAATCGCAAATGAGTACAAGATTTCTTAGGTTTCTTCAAATGAGATCATGTTCTTCAAATGAGATCATGTAATGTAAATATCGAGCTTTTTTGTATAGCCAGACTTTTTCAAATGGCTCAAAACTGTTTTGTGGTCAGTCTTCAATTCTTTGGCTATGTCGTAAAGAACTAGTAATATGCCAATC